TAAATCACAGAACATCAGATTGAATGGTGGAATGGGCTCAAGAGGCCAAATGCCCTCCTTTGTATCTATGTCTTATGGACTATGTTAGTTTGCACTCACTTGCATTCCTGTTTTGGATATCCTAACAATCCCAGAAGCCCAGCGAAGATATCCTGGAGGTAAGGTCTCAGCATTTTGCCCACTCTGTATGCTTATTAAAAGGAAACTGCTCCTGCCAGAACAATTCTTCAAATCATCTATATTGTTATCAAACCACTGCTGTCTTCTCTTTTTTTTCAGCACATCAATTTCCCTTCAAGGCAGTTAATCAGTTTTCTGTGCCAGACAGCCACTCCTCCAACTCTGCAATCCTGTTTCTGCTTTCTGTCAGGTTCTGTCGAAACAAGGCCATATGCCTCATCAGCTTTTTGATTAATGCAGCTTTCTGATGGTCTGATAGCTCCCCTCAGATCACAGTACATTCTAGAGGAGAGTCAGAGTCCACCAATCTGCCATTGCAGGCAACAAGGAGTTGAGAGTGTCAGGATGAGAATTTTACCACCCCCAACAGTCCTCCGCCCCTGATGTATGTCCCCATTTTGTTTCTCAAGTTTCAGGAAGCTCTGGAGGTTTTAGTAAGGGGATTTTCCTGTTGGACAAATGCTGAAATTTAACATTTTAGGTTTGCAATGGTTAAATTGCAACCGGAACCTCATTAAGTTACATCAGGTAATTTATTTTGTCGGACTTCCTATTAATTTAAACTTGGCTCGTCTGTATCTTTTTTAATCCCTTTCCTAACTCTTTTAAAAATAAATTCTCCTTACATTCTTCTCTATTAGTGTATAATTTCCCTCTCTCTGGTTATTTTAAAATCTTTCGTCCTTGTCTTTCTTTGTTTTCTACTCCCACTGCTGCTGCTACAAGACTGGGTGTGACAATGAGATATAAGTGTACGACCAATATAATTTAATATGGACTAATGCAATATATTGTACATAGAAGAAAAATAGGCAGTGTACACACAGACACCGAATTGTGCTAAAATAGTGAAGGATACAATGGACCTGAACATCAATTTGTCCAACCACTTCCAAACAGAAATCCACATCAAACTCTGAATTTTAGAGTTTACATCCTACATTAAGCAGGACGTAGGCCTGGTCTTTTTCTTGTAGCCTCTCCTGGGGTGTTTTCGCACCGGATCTAGTTGCTGGAACTCAGCCTCACAAACGAGCAGCGTGTATTAGACCGTAGCCCACCTCTTGCGCCCGGAACATCTCAGAAGAAATTCATCCTTTTCTTCAGGTGGTAAAAGTATTGAGACTGCTATATCCATCATGTCCATCTCAGACTCCGAAGTTTCTGCAACGCTAGATGGAGGGGGAAGAACCCACAGATTCCAACAGCCTTTTCAGCTGTTCTGAGGGGCTGGGTATGTTTTGCTTCTGTCCCATTTGCATTTTATATTCAGAGGTCCAAAACAGAGGACATTACACTGTGCTCACGCAACAGAGAATTCTCATCAGGGTATAAGCACCGTATCCAGTTCAGACCACCAAGAGTCATTGGCAGGTATGTAATGCTGGAAACAGTTTAGAGAAAAAAACATGCATTTGTACAGCACCTTTCACAATCACAGAACATCTCAAACAGTTTTATACCAATGAAGCGTGTTTGAAGTATGGTTACTATCACAGCCACATGGCGCACAGCAAGCTTCCACAAACTACAATGTGATAATCATTAGATAATCTGGAGGTGGTGGTTGAGGGATGAATGTTGGCCAAGACACTGGAGATCACTCATTTCCCCGCCCTCCTTTGAAACAGTGTTATGGTAATTTTTGCATTAACCAGAGAAGACAGGCTGGGCTTCAGTTTAACACCAGAAAGATGGTAGTTACGTTTGTATAACACCCCTCAGTACCACACTGGGGTGTCAGTATTGATTCTTGTACTTGAGCCTTCAAGTGGGACTTGAGCCCACACCCTGCACCTGAGAGATGAGAGTGCTACCTGGAGCTGATATTACAAGAGAAGGGTATCAAAACATGAGATAGCAAAAAGGACTGGAGAAATCTTGGCCTTTTCATCCTTGAAAGGCACTAAATAAGGATGTTTGTAAGATGGCAGTTAGTATGTGAAAGGTAGATTCAGGAAGGTATTCAGAACTGAGTTACTCAAACATGGGAACAACAGCTTGCATTTATATAGCACCTTTAGAACAGTAAAATGTCCCAGGTTACTTAATAGGACTGCTATCAGACAAAATTTGGCACCACGTAATTGAAATAACTCCACAGAGCCTGTTATCCGGTCACCGACTCACCCTTTGTTTATAGGTGCATAGTACTTGACACTGGTCTTGCTTCCTCAGAGCCAGCTCTCAGAATAAACAGAACCTCTGACATGCCTGTTAATGTCAGGACTCCTGGTATGGACCAGGTTAACAGCCCAAATCAGGGAACTCATATTCTATGAGGTCCACCTGGCTGACCTCGTTACAATCTTTACATCCCTCCCCCTCAAAGTTCATGGACGTAGGCCTGCTCTTTCTCTTGTAGCCTCTCCTGGGGTGTTTTCACACCAGATCTAGTTCCTGCAACTCAGCCTCACAAACGAGCGTGGACTAGACCATAGTCCATCTCTTGCGCCCGGAGCATCTCAGAAGAAATTCATCCTTTTCTTCAGATGGTAAAGGTATTGAGGCTGGTACATCCATCATGTCCATCTCAGACTCCGAAGTTTCTGCAACGCTAGATGGAGGGGGTAGAACCCACAGATTCCAACAGCCTTTTCAGCTGTTCTGAGGGGCTGGGTACGTTTTGCTTCTGCCCCATTTGCAAGTTTGCAGCTTTCACATGGACCACACACTTGTTCAGTTCTGCCTCACGTACCAGAACCTTGAATGGCATGGGACCTGAACTCGTTTCGACCATGACTCTTACCCATGCAGGGCCATTTCCATGGGTCCTACATCAAACTTCATCCCCTGAAGTAAACTGTCTCTCTTATCTTGTGCCCGCATTGGCATTCCTGATGCCATGTCACCCTCCCTGCCAGGTCCAGGAAGATCAGATTTAACCTGGTGCAGAGTTTTCTCCCCATCAGCAATTCTGCTGGAGCTGTCCCTATAGTTGATTGAGGGGTGGCCCAATAATCAAATAGAAACTGGGACAATGTGGTATTGAGTGAAGCTGTAGGCTGTTTTCTTTAAGCCTGACTTCCAAATTTGCACTGCACATTCTGCCAGACAACTGGATGATAGTTGTTATGGAGCTATATCCCAAATGCCATTTGACTTTTGGAAATCCTCCAATTTGCTGCTGGTAAACGATGGCCTGTTTTCTGTGACCGACACTTTTTTACAAAAGATGCTCACAACTTTATATCTTCGTTCCCTTGTTTGACGAATGAACTCGATGCACGTCCAATCACTTTGAATGGGCGTCCACAATGTCTAAGAACATTGAGCCCATGAAAGGACCTGCATAGTCAACGTGTAACCAAGTCCAGGGTTCACCCAGCCATACCCATGAAGGTGGGTTGCTGATGGCCGTAATATTTGACCTTGTTGGTATTCTGAGCAATGTGGCTATGTCTGTATCCAATCCTGGACACCAGACATACCTTCAATCCTACATCTTCATTTTGGACATCCCTGGATGACACTGCTGGAGTTCAGCCAGTATCTGGTGGCACCCTTTGCTGGGGACAATCACTCTTGCTCCCCATAATAAAATGCTGTCCTTTACCGTGATCTGGTCTTGCCAAGTCCAAATTCTGGTTGTGATGGCCATTCTGCTTCCTCCATCACCACCAGCTGTCTTAGTTTGCCAAGACCAGATCTTTTTGCAACCACAACCTGATATTGTCATCGGTGACCGGAAGGGTGTCCAGAAAGTTTAAAACCAGAATGGACTCTTCCAGTGGCGATACCATCAGTGGTGTATCTGCCAGTGGGAGGCAGCTCAGGGCATCCGTGTTTGCTACTTGGCCTCCTGGACAGTGTTCCAACTCGTAATTGTATGCAATTAGAATGAGATCTCACTACTAAATTCGACCTGAAGCACGAACTTGTTCTCTTTGAGTTGTACTAGAAGGGATTTGTGGTCTGTTGCTACACAAATTTACAGCTGTAAAGGTATTGGTGGAACTTTCTCACACCAAAGATGACTGCTATATCTTCATTCTCTACTTGGGCATACTTGTGTTCAGCATCAGCAAAAGTCTGGGAAGCAGACACCATTGGGCATTTCTCTCCATTGGGCCATCTCCGAGCCAACACTACCCCGATACCGTATGGGGAGGCATTGCATGTCAGCCCTGGATCTCGCATGGGATCATAGTGTGGGCCAACACCTTAGATAATGATGGCTGTTTCTTCACTTCTCTTAAGGCTATGTCCTGGCTATGAGACCATTTCCAAGGCTGACCCTTTTTCAAAAGCTCATGTAACAGTGCCAGTATGGAGGCCAGATTACATATGAAATTTCTGTAATAAGTTACTAATCCAAGGGAAGACTTAAGCTCCAGTACAGACGTGGGAGCCAGGGCAGCTTTGGTTGCCTTTGCTTTATCTTCCAATGGGTGTAACCCAGTATTTTTGATTTTACAGACCAAGTAGGTCACATGGGGGACCTGAAACACACATTTTCCCTTCTAAGGTGTACGTCTGCCTTGGAGAAATGTTTAAGGACTATGTCTGAGTGTTCCTTATTGGTCTTTCTGGTTATTAGCACATCATTCAGATAAATGTCGATCTGGGATAGACTTTTAAAAATGTTTTCCATTTGCTGAAAACTGGCACAGGCTGATGATACCCCAAATAGCCATCTCGTATATTGGGACGAACCCTTATGGGTATTAATTGTAGCATACTTCAGGGAATCCTTATCCAGTCGTAACTGCAGGTACGCACTGCTCATGTCCAGCTTTGTGAAGGACAGAACCCCCATCTTCCATCTTTGCATATAAGTCATCGGTGTGAGGGATTGTGCATTTATCCAATTGTGAGAAATGGTTTACCGTTTGTTCAAAATCCCTACAAAGGCAAATCGACCCTTTGGACTTCACAATTGGTACGACCAGTGCTGTCCATTTCACAAACTGGACTGGTTTGATGATTCCTTCGCTTTACAGCCTCTTTATTTCTGCCTCTACTTTGGCAAGTGAGGCAAATGCCACTGGGCAGGCCTTGCAGAATCATGGAATTGCTTCCTGGTCAACATGTAAGGTGGCCTTGGCTCCTCTGATAGTCGCTAGACCTTCCTCAAAAACATCCCGGTATTTAATTAGGACTTCCCTCAAGGATCGAAAAATGTAAGCCAAACAGGGTGTCTCTTTCTCAACTAATTTCGCCCCATCAGGCTTGGGCCCCAGCCTTTTTATCTCAATCAGTGCTAACTGAACCAGCTGTTTCTCGTACAATTTCGGAACCAAAGCTGTACCCTTAATCTGTGAAAGTTCCCTGGTATAGGTTCTCAGTCTAGCCAAGGTCTTACGCAAACTTAAGGATTGGAGTCCAGAGCAAAGTTTGTTAAAAGACTGGTTCTGCAATCTCTGATACAGCCAGCCCAGTATCAACCTCCATTAGAACTGTGTGACCATTTAACCAGATGTTTATTTTGATTAGTTCTGATTTGGATTTTGCTAAGCAATTTAACTGTTCCAAGCCAGATATAGGTGGGCTTTGCAGAGTGTGCACTCTCCTGGATACTGACCTATAAGTTCTCTTACTCAATTGAGGCCTAGTGGGAATATTTTGCTGTCTCGAGTCTGCATACCGGCAGGATCTATAATGGCTGGCTAGGCCGGATCCTGAAGAAAATTTCAATTGTTTGGCCGAAGCTTGGCTTTGTTTTGGGGTTTTGCTGTGGGCTGGTCTAGAGTCCCTCTGTTCAGGATACGTCCTGAGTGAGCCAATGTAATTGTCTTCACTCAAGTGGTGTCCCCCAAGCTCAGTTCGACTGGCGAGGGTCCCACTTCCATCAGTAGACTCTATAACTCATATGCTCCACTTGCTACATTTTCCAATGATAAAGCCAGTTGTAGTGCCTGTTCGAAGTCCAGTTGGGCTTCAGCCAGTAGGCGCTTTTGCATGGTTACATCATTAATCCCTTTTACCAAATGGTCTCTCAGCATTTCATGAAGGGTTAAACTAAAGTCACATGCCTCTGCCAGTCATCTTAACGTCGTCAAAAATCCCAGCACGGATTCCACTGGTTGTCGAACTGCTGAGTAAAACCAAAATCATCTCAGAATCAGAGGAGGGTTGTGGTCATAATATTCCTTAATCAAATCTGTCAACTCTTTAAAGGTTTTAATATCTGGTGCCTCAGGGAAATCTAGGCTCCTAATAACCAAAAAAGCTGAGGGTCCACAAGCTATCAGAAGAATTACTCATTGCTTTTAAGCTTCCCCAATATTGTTTACTCAGAGAAAGAAAAATATATTCTTTCCACATACTGGGGCCCAGTCTTCAACAGCAGGATCAAATGAATCAAGCTTCCCAAGAAACAGCATGTGCCAGAAATGCTTACCCCAACTCAAGCAATTTTCTTCAGGAGCATTATTTTTCCTCTTGCCACCACTGAAATAACTCCGCAGAGGTCAGTATTCAATCATCAAGTCACCCTTTATTTACATGTGCATAGTTCTTGATACTGGTCTGGCCTTCTCAGAGCCAGCTCTCACAGTGAACAGAAACTCTGAGACTCCTGTTCTTATTTTTCAGCCAAGGCTCCCTGATTGGACCAGGTTCACAGCACCACTCAGAGAACTCATGTTCTATGAGATCCATCTGGCTGACCTCGTTGCAACCACTACACCATCTAAAGAGTTAGTGGTACAGGATCGGGTGGAAACCTTGTAGCTTTCCAGATGAAACAAATGAAATAGACCATGGATTTCATCCATGCCAATTTGATATGATCTCACCTTCTTAGAACACAAAACGTATTTTAGGATGAGAGAGAGCCAGGTTTTTCAAAATTCTGAGATTTCAGCAATTAAAAATATAGTTTTCTGTGTAGCTCATCAGGGAGCATGTTTAACATTTTGTTGCACATTGGGAACAATGCCAAGAAGACCATAGGCCCCAGACCCTCAACGGTCACTGATTTAAGAGTCTTTAGGAACATGATAAGCAATCAGCCAAAATAGCTAATGATTTCATCAGTAGCTTTAGCTTTTTAGCTTTGGAATAAATTTGCTTCATTATATCTGTTACATCTGTGAATCAATGTTTCTTGTAAATCATGCTGTTTAAAAATTTGGCAACTAAAATTGAGCATGTAAAATTGGTAACGTCAGAAGCAGCAAGATCTTCTTCCAGGCTGGAACCAGCAATGTGACAAACATCTCGCAGTTTGCCCATAATTAGTCCCATCTGGAGGCCCCATCCACTAAAAGAGAGAACTTCATTGTATTCTCTTTTGCCTGAGATAAGGAAGAAAGGGTCACATTAGTTTCTCAAGGTAACAGGCTTCCCAGTGGTGCAGGAGACTATCACTTGCTTGTGTGGGTGGTCCTCTCAATGGGGAGATGCACCAGAAGCCAAAGGAGTGCTACTCACTTTAATGCTTAGTTGGAGTGCGGCCACACATAAAGCATCCTGTAAGTGACTGCCCACTTTTCTGGCAGAAGCCCCTTTATCCTGCACCGTCCAATCCCACCATATTCCTGGCAGAATGATAAACCAGAGGGTAGTATCTTGATAACAGGGGTTACCCACTCTGTATCTGGTTCATGGTACCCTTTTTCCATGTGACCTATAATGGATGGTGCTTGTATGTCAAGAGCCATTCTGTGAGAAGGAGCATCGTGGTGCAAACCATCGACCTTCCAGATTAATGATTCTGTGTCTTGAGTCACTATAGTGTCAGGGTGTGTCTCCAAACTTGCCAAAGCATTACTCCAAATTAGTAGTGATCTCCTACAGGTCACACAACTTAGTTTCCATGAGACCATAAGGCAGAGAAGCTGATGCAGGCCAGTGAGCCTGCTCTGCCATTCAATGAGATCATGGCTAATCATCTTCAACTTCACTTTTTATCCTTTTCTCCACACCCCTTGGTCCCCTTATCTATTGTGAATATTTTTAACAACCCAGCCCCAAAAACTCTTTGCAGTAGAGAATTTCACAGATTCACTACTCTCTGAGAGAAGAAATTCCTCCTCATCTCTGACTTAAATGGGCAACTCTTTATTCTGAGATTAAGCTTTCTGGTTCTATACCCTCTCATAGGAGAAACAACCTTTTGGTACCTATCCTATCTAGCACACTGAGAATCTTTTATGATTCAACAAGGACTCCCCTCATTCTTCTAAACTCCAATGAACACAGGCCCAAACTACCCTTCTAAGGGAGAAATCCTTGCCACTAGGCATTTGATGATGATCTTAAGAGGAGACACCATAAAACCCATTGCTCCAGATGGGCTGCCAATAAGCAATAATTGGAATATTCAAGTTTCCTTAAAACGTGACTTTAATATCTTTCTCATTCTTCATTATCTTCTTCTCTTGACCATTTCAACTCTCGTAGTTTAGACCATTCTCATGGTGAATTCAAAATCTGTTCGCCCTGAGATTAGCTTTTCTTGCAGTCACTCAAAAATATGGAATTTAAATATTTGTGAAAAGAAAGGCAAGTTGCCAAAACTTTTCATCTTGCACTCAACAGGGCAAATGCAAGAACGTCAAATTTCCCTGTTGCTTTCTCCATGGCAATGTCTCACCAATCAAAGTCAACTTGCCAACCAACTAGCATCCTTTTCTCCTGTAGTATAAATTAATGTGATCAAAAATTTTGGGTTTATCCTGTTGAATGCAAAATGAAAAGCTTCACAACTTTCTTTCAGCAATAATTGCCTTCAGATAAATAGACATTGTAGTAAGTTTAGCAATATGTAGAACATGAACAGCAAATGCAATCTGCTAATTATTATTTTTGAAAGTTGTAAGCCTTCATTTGACTTCACATAAGTAGTACATCATTACATTGGACTTAATTTTATATGTTAAGCATTAAATAAATTCACTAAGCAATGAACAAGCAGCTAATCTACCTGGAATATAGTTCAATTTTACAATTGCAGTAAGAAGTGAAATCTAGATGAAAATTCCTTGTTCTTTTCCAAACAACATACATACTGTAACATAAGATAATGTGGTTATGATATAGATTTTTTTTATCATAATGTCAATTCATCCTGTGCGTTAACTGCAAATAAACATTCTGACTTGTTTCAAAATTTTGCTGCGTTCACTGACCCACATTGGTTTACAGTATGTTAACTCCTTAAATTTAAAATTCTAATCCTTGTTTTCAAATCTCTCTGTGGCCTTGTCCCTCCCTAATTCTGTACTCTCTTCAGCTCTACAAACTTCTGACATTTCTGTACTCCACCCTTTCTGGCCTCTTTCCCAAGCTTAATCACTCCACCATGGTGGTCCTGTATTAAGTTACCTAGGCCCTAATTTCTTTCATTCTCTCTCTAAACGTCTCTAACTCTCAACCCTTCTTTATGATGCTTATTAAAACCTACCTCTTTGACCAAATCTTTTGGCATCTTTTGTATTGATTCCTTATGTGGTTCCAGAATCACACAAGTGTTATGATGCAAAAGGAACCCATTCAGTCCATCATGCTTGCATTGATTTGTTAAATAAGCATTGTTACCTAGTGTCAGTTTTCTATTTCTTCCCCATACCCTTTCACATCATTTTTTTAATCCAAATAATCATTCAATGCCCTCTTGAATCCCTCAATTGAGCCTGCATCCATACCCTCACTACTTGCTGAGTGACAAAACTTAACCACACTTCACCCATGCATCTTTTTCAGATCACTTTATATCTATGCCCTCTTGTTCTTGTTCATTTTATAAATGGAAATTGTTTCTCCCTGTCTAGTCCTTCCAACCTGCTCATCATCTTAAAAACTTCTTTCAGATCCTCTCTTAGCCTTCTTCTCTCCAAGGGGATCAGCTCCAAGTTCTTCAAACTATCCTCATAACTGAAGTTCCTAATCCTTGGAACCATACTTGTAAATTGTCTCTGTACTCTCTCCAATGCATTCACCTCCTTCCTATAATGTAGCACCCACAACTGTACAGATACTCCAGCTGAGGTCTAACAAGTGTCTTATAAAAGTTCAATATTACCTCATTATGAAACGAAGAACTGCACTGCTGGAAATCCGAAACAAAAACAGAAATTGCTGGAGAAACTCAGCCAGTCTGGCATCATCTGTGGAGAGAAAGCAGAGTTAAAGTTTTGGGTCCAATGACACTTCTTCAGAATGTTTCAACATTACCTCCTTGCTCTATACTCCTATTAATAAAGCCAAGAATACTCTGTGCTTTACAATTGCTCTCTCTCTCTCTGTCTTGGACTTTCAATGATCTATGCACATATGTACTCAAGTCCCTATGTTCCTGTTCACAATTTACAATTCATCCAAGTTTTGTGTTATCTGAAAACTTTGAAATTTCCCCCGCACACCAAGATCTAGATCATTAATATACATCAGTATATTTGATAACATTATTGCGAAGTGCCTTGAGACATGTTCCTATGTTGAATGTGCTATACAAATGCAAGTTGGTGTTGAGTAAGGAAATAAACACTGATCTTGGAAAGGCAATATAAGGAGATAATCTGATGTAACATTACTGCCTAATATTCCATTTTATTTTGCAGGAATATGGCATCATACATTCTACAACAACAACAACAACAAGCATTTATATAGTAAAATCTCTGACAGTGACACCGAACAACTGAAGGACATATTAGGAGAGGTGACCAAAAGTTTGATCACAGTGATACGTATTATGGATCAACTTAAAATGGAGGTGGAGTTGCTTCAGGAGAGAATTCCAGAGCTTTGGCAGCTGAAGGCATGACTGCCAATGGTGAAATATTGAATTGGAGTTTTGCATATCATGTAATCCAATGTAGCAACATCTTCTATTTCTTCTTTAGCATCGAGGATTATTTTCTTCCACTCTGGAGTTGTGTGTCTTGGAAGTCCCATACTGGAACTACATATCGTGTCATAGTAGGCCAGCTGGTGTTCAATGAGTTGGGTGAGTGTGTGTTGCCTGGGTTTTAACACACTACCTTTGCTGTTTGAACTTGGTCTTCACTTGAGTTTGTCAGAGATGTTCAAAATAGTTGGTGTTTTTGTGGATACTTCTTCTGCAGGTCAAGATTCCAGTGAGTCAATGACAATATTGTATTTTTCACAGAGACTTTGAGGAAGTCTTGGAGTCTCTGTCCTCCTGGTAACAGCTTTCCCTGGCAAAGCTCAAAGCTCAGAGCAGAGGATTTGTTATGGAAGTCTTCAGCCCAGCATGTAGATTATGTGGCCTAACCTATGTTCAATCACCCTATGCTCTTTCTGTCCTTGTACATTATAATCTGCTGTACTGCATGCAAAACAAAACCCTTCTCTGTATGTAGGTACATGTGACAATAATAAATCAAATCAAATCAAAACCAAATCATGATAAGTTATCATGCAAACCACAATATAATATAGAGTATACAAATGTACATAGTTTTGTTCAAAATACATTGGTAATTGTTTTTGTATGGGCAAAATTAAATGGGCATTGAGAGAATTTATAGTATTAATTTAAAGTCAAAAACAACTAATAGTTTTGCTTTTCACTTTGATCCAGATATGTCAACATCACTACATTAGACATCAACTTTAGTACTGGCTAATACAATACTCCCCTCAACCTCTATTTAACATTAGCTTTGAAGGGATTGTAGAAGTAGTCATTCTGGATTCAAGTTCCAGTATGGTGTTGGTCAACTTGTGGCCTATATGGAAAAGGAGGTGCTTTTGGTGAATAACAAAGAAAGCAATCCTGGTGCAATCTGTCAAGCCGCAGTTCCTTACACTGCTCATCAGTGGTGCTACGGCCTGCAATAGTCTCCAGGACTGTGAGAATTCTCTGAGGGCCAGAAAAGGTTTTGGTAATGGCAGCCAAGTGACTAGTTAGCTGTTCAGCAAACCAAACCAAGGTAGCTGGTTGCCATGCTGTTTGGAAGAGAAAGTTCACTTCCTGAAATCAATTGGTTGTGATCGCCCCAATTATTCACAAATCTGAGAAGACTGACACTATCTTTGAAGGTAGACAAGGTTCATGAATCAGTCGGCCATCTTCAAACTGACTATGAACCAACTGGCAGTCAAAGGATGTCTTCTCATCATTGGATTAGTTTTGTCTAATCAGAGCTCCCTTAAATCAGCAAGTCCAAGTGTAGGCAAACAGCCACTCCAGACATCCACTGGTGTCTGTGGCCTCTCTCCAGCCTATCATTGTTCACACCATCAAGCTTGTTTGAGGCTTTTGTTGGGCTTATATGAAAAAGGTGAACTAGTGTGTCAGATCGATCCAGGAGATCAGACTCCCAAGGGTAGATTTTTAGGCTTAGAATCCATTTACAGAACTGCTGACTACCTTTAGAACATTGGAAAGATTGTGACTGAGCTATCTCACTGAGTGAGCGCAAAGCTGTAATGAAATGTTAATACTTGAGGAGTGCATTCCAAAAATAGTGGCAGAGGCTTAATTAGCATAAAGGGCCTTTCAGAGTTCGGGAATGATGCATTGCAGGACCAGGGTGTTTTGCCAGCAAATGGTAGATGTTTAACTGTCTGCCTTTTCGCAAATTATACACTCTTTTCCATATAACACTTTCAAGGCTTCTTTAAACACATTTATCAGCTATCCATCCATTATTTCAATCATGCCTGCTTGTAAAAAAAATTGAAGAGCAAAAATTAATGAAACCTCCTGCAGAAAGTACAACAGAGGGCCTTTCCTGAGATTTGATAATGCACAGCAATAGCTCAATATGAACCTGAGTTCTGCTGATATAGTGGGAAGATAAATCAGCCACGTTATTGCATTGAAAGTGCTCATGCAGTTTTGGTAAAGTGGATTTATGTTGGCATAATATGAATAAAAGAGTGAAGTACATCATGATGAGATTTGACAAAAAGGAGAAGCTTTGTGTGTGTGGATCTCTGTTGTGCTTTTAAATTAGCTCCATTTTTACTGATTTCATGCACGTCTGCAAGAAAAATATCCACAGATACAGTATGTCTGGCTCTTTTCACATGTAGGTGAAATATTGCTCAATGTAAGTTACCAGAAAAAAATGTTAATTCTTTGTTTTTATTTTTAAAACAAAATCTATGCTATGCTACATTATTTGGACAGAAATCCAATAAACGGTGGGTGAAATACCCAATGCCTAAAGGATAAACCAGCAACATTTTTAATTATCAATTAATTCCTATTGGTTCAATCCATTTAAAGAATCTGCTTTAGAGAGAGAGGCTAACAAAACTGGTAGACATATTTCTTTCATGGAGCTGGCATGTAGCTAGCTGCTAACTTTGATGTGCGACAACGCAATTTATATGGTAAATTGTACCAAATAATGGTTCTAGTGAGTGTTATGGCTGCATTGAAAAGGAATGTCACGGTAAATAGCTGCCAAATTATGGACTGTGCTGTAGTGTCACAACTGCGCTAAAGACAAATAGCACAACAGGCTACTGCCAGCACCCAGCATGACACCAATGAGTTATAGAGAAGAGGAGCAGTGTGATGTGATGCTCTTTGTACTCTTATTATAAAGGAGGGTTAGTGTTTGGGCCTGATATATAAAGCAGATATGTGCAACATGGAAACTGGATGTTATGCCTCGATGTTATGCTGTGTGGAGTCTGATACAACCTATTTACTAAGAAGTCCATCATCGGCTTTCAGAATGCAGAATACATTGGTGCAATAAAGTATGTATCTCTGGGATAACTTCAGTGCTACATCTTATTCCTTTCTAAAACAAAATATAAAATACAGTAGATTTTACTTAAAAGGGTCTTTCCACCTGGAGAGGGTGGTGGCCACATTAAATATTCACATGAAATTGCATTGCTGGAAATGATAGAATGACTTTTTTCTGTGATACAACAATGCATTTTAACGTGATTTTACATTCTTGCAAGGCAGTATTTAAACACAAAATTTGCAGAGTGATAGGAACAGAGAATCATGGCTACTCGTTATTCTTTGGACTGGAAGAAGGTTTTGCATGGGGTTCCCCGGGAATCAAACTTAGTGCCTTGGTTTTCTTTGATTATGTATTAACAACCTAGACCTGTGTATAGTGGACAAAATTTCAGAATTTGAAGACGACATAAAACTTCAAAGTATTGTGAACTCCAAGGAAGATAGTATTAAGGTTCAAAAGGATGTACATTAGCTGGTGGAATAGGTGCACAAGAGGCAGTTGGAATTTAATGCAGAGAAGTGTGAAGTGATTCATTTTGGTGGGAAGAATGAGGAGAAGGAATATACAACAAAGGACAAAATTCTAAAGTGGGGTTGGGAGTTGAGGGAATTGGGGGCATATGTACACAAATCATTAAAAATTGTCAGGCAAATTGGGAAAGGTTATGATATGACACTTGGAGATAACACAGTACGGAGCTGGAGGAACACAGCAGGCATCAGAAGAGCAGGAAAGTTGATGTTTCGGATCGGGACCCTTCTTCAGAAAATCTTGGAACCTTGGGTTTTATAAATAGGGGCACAGAGTAAGAAGTTGTGATAAAACTATACAAAACACTGGTTCTACCTCAATTAGAGTATTGTGTCTAGTTCTGGGCACCTCACTTTAGGAAGGATGGGAAGGAGTTTGAAAGGGTGCAGGAATAATTCATGAGATTGGTTTAAGGACAGGAACTTCAGTTACATTGATAGCTTGGAGAAATTCAGATTGTTCTTCTTGGAGAAGAGAAGGTTGAGAGGAGATTTGATAGGGATATTCCAAATCATGAGAGTCCTGGAAAGAGTAGATGGGGAGAAACTGTTTGCATTGGCAAAAAGATTGAGAACCAGAAAACACCAATTTAAGATAGCAAGAACTGCAGATGCTGGAGTTAGAGATAACACAGTGTGGAGCTGGAGGAACACAGCAGTTCAGGCAGCATCAGAGGAGTAAGAAAGTTGATGTTTTGCGTCAGGACTCTTCTGAACAATTCAACACCAATTTAAGATTAGTAACAAAAAAGGCAACAGAGACATGAAGAAAACACTTTTTTACAATGCAAGTGGTTAGGCTCCCCAGAGCCAGTTCCTGAGATGTGGTGGAGGTAGGTACAATTGAGGCCTTTAAAAGAGAATTTTATAACGCAAAAGTTTTTGCAGGGCTATGGGTAAAAGGTAGGAGAATGGCACAAAGTGATTTGCTCTTACAGACATCTGGCACAGACATAAGGGATTGAGTGCTTCTGTGCTATGTATTCTCTGATTCCACTTTGCAAACATAAAATTTTATCCAAATATAGTATAAAGACAAATGGGATCTGATTGCCAATCCTCCAGAATTCTCCAGGAGAAAAATCATGGGAAATTAGAACATAATGAGCTAGATTTATGGAAGAGATGGAGAATGCTAGAGAGGATCAATTGGGCACCTAACTGGACAGTAGGCCTTCCCCAGGATCAATGATTGCATGTGTTAAGTCCCACCAATCAGAGACCAGTGCATCTTTTGAACAGCAGTGCTGCTGGGTGGGTGGTGGCTGATGCCAGTACTTCACCCACCTGAGGCCCATCTCGCTGAGGAGAGGAGGGAAAGGTGTTCAGCAGCTGGGATATGGAGTGGTGCGGCACCCTTCCCAATGCCAAAACACTCAATCAGGCAGAGAGCCTTTGAATGAAATACCTCTGGGACCCTGAAAGCAATTCGTGTGCCCCACATAGTCAACCATACCACCATAATTGGGTAAATACCAGCGGTGGTGTGACGACTCCATTAGGTGGGCATTAATTGTCAGCGGGATGGCATCATCATCCATAGGCCTTCTCACCATGGATTTAATCAGGATGGAAATGGGAAGGTAGCACAGCTCCCTTCACAAAGCCCCTCTGATTAAATGCCCTCTGTCCACCAAACTCAATACAGGTGAAGGCATTTAATCTAGCCAATCCACAATCAGGGAAAACTTTCATTTATTAATCATGAAACATTTTCATTTGGGGAAAATAGCTGTTTTTCTGGAAGTGAAAAATCTGTCTATTAAGGTCAGTCCGATTACTGTGAGGCCCACCAATTGTATGCAGAGCACTGGATCACTGTTGACACCTGTAAATCATCAGCATTTGCTTTTTAATAATAACCGCTTATATTTTTATGGAGAGTTGAACATAGAAAAATGATTCCCCTCCCCCCATCACAGACCCGGATCTCATTTACTTATGAAAGTGATAGTGCTATCCCCTGTGGGCCAGATGGTTGTGGGTTAAATTCGGAGCTGACACTTCCAGAAAGAATGCTGCACTGCCAGAGATGCTATCTTTCAGATGAGACATTAAACCAAGGTCCTGTCTGTCTTCTCAGGTAGGTCTTAAAGATCCCAAGGCATTATTCTGAAGAACAGTAGGTGTCCTGGCCAATATTTATATTTTAACCAAGATCACTGAGAAACAACAGATTACCTGCTATTATGAGGGATAGTAGGAACTGCAGATGCTGGAGAATCTGAGATAACAAGGTGTAGAGCTGGATGAACACAGCAGGTCAAGCAGCA